CGATTATATTATCTGGGTTCTGGATAGTATAAACGCTCCGATGAAGTTACAGCATGTTGTCCAGCGGCTCATGCGCAGATGGAGCACGTGCTTTATGCTGAATCGGCGAAGAGGTCATGCTTCCAGCCGTGAATTGAGGATTTGCCGGGGGGTGTTTCGAGGCGATACCCTCTCTCCCGCTTTATTTATGCTAGCAGTAGCACACATTAGCCACGCCCTGGACGAAGCCCCGCCAGAGAGAAAAGAAATTAAAGAAAGATGCGCCCCAAATGAATGTTAGTTCCCGTTTTTGACGCGTGCTTATTACTTCCCGAAAATGTGGCTCGAATACTCGAACAGGCGATAGGATCGAACAGCGTGGCGTAGCGGTGCCCAAGATTCGGATGCATTCCAGTAATTTTTATTAATGTGGAATGATAACCCGGTTTATTCTGTTATTCGTGGCACAATGTCGGGACTTTTCTATGGCGAAAAAAAGCGGAGGGGGAAATCTGACGAAATTTTGCTGACATTCTGTGGAAGTTCAAACGCTTGTTGACGACATCCATGTACCCATGTGCCACCGAATTGCCTCAATTTGGGCTTTTAAGCACGCCTAAGTCTCAGATGAGCCTCAAATGAATACTAGTTCCCGTTTAAGCACAACATAAAAATTTCAAATTCAGCACCCAGATACTCTGGTACTTAGGTATGGGTAGGAACAGTACCGCGAACGGCTCATTATAACAGCTATAATGTGCTTGATCTTGATTATCCAACGTGGAGAACTGTGGTAATTTTAGAGCTAATACATGCACCAAAGCTCCGGCTTATGGACGAGCGCTTCTATTAAATTAAAACCAATCGAGGCAACCCGTTCATTGGTGTCCTTTATATAGGAAATATTAGGCGGAATTGGGCAAATGTACTATTTCAGTCTAAATTTAAAAAGTTTTGCCAAGAGAGCACAAAACTGCAGTTTCTTTTTATATCAGAAGCCGAGTACGCCACTGTACTGCTCTCTATCACTTATACTGTGCACACGCTTTGGAGATTTGCAGTAAATCAAGTCTTACAATCAAATTTTTATGCGAAATACGAATTGATTACTAGCTGAGGCAGCAGAAGAGCACTGCATCGAGAACTAATTTTTGGCGCATTGCACCGAGCAGATAAGTCAAAATATTAATATTTTCAAGATTTTTTTTTTAGATGATGCAGTGAAAGATGGTAAACCGAAGATACCGATGGATGCATTGCATCAAATGACATGGACATAATCCGGAAGGTGTTATGGGCCGAAAAAAAAAGGAATTACAACAGCTACTTAACAAAATAATACGTTCTCTCACTGACAGCTTTCACCACTAACAACATTCCTCAGTGGCGTATCCGGATAACGGGGGGTGGAGGGAGGTAGAAGAGAGACAACTGGGCGGATTCAAATTGATTAGGCTGAAAAAAAAGGCCAAATTTAAGTTGTGGCGCAAAAATTAACTGGTGGGGAGCAAAATGTTTCAGCGAAATTGGCGCAAAAATCAATTGTAAGCTATATTTGAAATCAAAAATTTGGTTTTTTGTTAGTTTTTTTTTTTTGTAAAAACCAAATTTAGCACGGCTACTCCAAAAAAAAATCCATTCTCTTTGGCCAAGTTACGCTTTTTCCGTTGAAAAACTTCAAAATTAGGAAATACTCATTCTCATTCTATGTGGGAGGCTCTGGGTCGCCACTGATATTGATACCACTAACAAATTGAACGATAAATAAAACAACAATATCCAAATTTTCAACATACAACGACAGAAAACACCATTATAATAACAGACGTACAGTACTACCTGGCTGAATATTAAGTCAAGATCACTTGGTCACGTGGCGCCAGTTTCGAAATTATAAGGACAAAAACGCGCTTCTTTCGCAAAAAATGGTAAAAAATTAGTGGAGCAAGGCGCAGGTGCATGCTTTTCAAAAGTACAAATTGGAAGCCTAATTACCTGAAGGAGTAAGGACTGCCCTGATTCAGGAGCCAGGGCCTTGGGAAAACTTAATTTTCATCCTTCTAAGGGAGGATTAAAACAGTTAGCATCACTACAACTTACTCTTTTGCATTCAATAAGTTTATCATCCAGTGCTTCCTCGAGTACCTTCAAAAACTGGCAGATCGACAGAGATTCCTGGAAAAAAACCGCTCTGTATTTTTGGAAAGTAACTTTTTTCCCTCGATCTTTATTACCCTAGGAAGGGACTGGAACACGTCTGGTAATATCGAAGTTTGATTTGGGGTCTAAATTTTAGCAGCTCGGAGTCCGCCAAAAAAACACAATACGCATTTTGTTCAGCTAAGTTCGGGTCTCACAGAAATCGCTATTATATGGCCCAATTTTTTGTCCAGCTAGGCTCGAGTGGTAAAAATCGTAGCTAACGGAAATGAAGAAAGTCATGAGATTGAGCTTTTGTTCAGGTAAAAATAAGACGGGATGTCAGACTCCACTATTTGGAATATGTTAAATGAATTAATAATCAGGTGAAAAATTTAACATCTTACAACCTTACTGATCGACGGGCATGGCACATTGGAAAGTAATATTGATGTTATGCAGTGGGACAGAAGTTCGTAAACTTCGCCTCTAAACGATCCTCGAAAGAGGGAACCATCGACAGTCTTGCCAGCAAGTGATTGCTGTTGGCATTTGCTATCACCCAGGCTAATCCCCAATTGCCTTCGTCTCTTAATGAGAGGAAATAGCTTTGACCGCCATACGATTGCCTTACGCTAAAACAAAAAACTGCAAATACTTGCTGTAAAGAACTGGCATGACAGTGTAATGGATAGCATGTCACGATTCAAAGGACCCGGAGATGATGAAATTAGGAGTTCGAGTCCCTGCCATTCTGCACCCATTTTTAAAAATGAGGGATATTCTGGAAAATGAGATCGAACTTACGAGAGGTAATTTGGAATATCCGACAATCGGCAGCTGTCGTAAGCAGCGACCACTTAAACCGTAAGCATTTCTGCAAATTCAAAATTTTATTCCATAAAAAAAAAAGACCAAGGCGCAGAAAAATTTTACAAATTAGGAATTTTATGGAATTAGAAATGGAAGTTTAAAAACATCAAGAAAAATTTTGGAGCACTGATAAAGGACGCATTTGAAAAGACCAAAAAAGGAAGAACTTTAGACACTTAAGAAAGAACTTTAGACACTTAAATCACGCAAAAATGACACCCCAAAATGCCAAATGCCTCTGTTGGGAGGGCCGTTGAGTCGATCTTTTCAGGAGGCAAAACGATCTCAGGTTTGCCAGTAGGCTGACCATTAAGCGATGGTCGAAACAACCGGCAAAGTGCACAGCTGGGGGACAACCTTATCAAATATAGCCATAGGCGGATCCAGGATGGACTCATGGGGGGAGAGAGGAGGGGGAGGACGACGGGGGTGAGGGAGAAAGTCCTCTCGCACCTGGAACTACGTAAAGGCTAAGAATAGAGTTGTAACACTGCTACTTAGAGTTACTTTAGGCTTTATTTTATTTTTAGCTTTATACCCGGACTTTTGCAGCATTGGTGCCTGT